GCCTATTGTCACTTTCGTTGCAGAGCTCAACGCTTTCCTTTTCGGGGAGAGCCGCTGTATATCAGAACCGTCATAGTTGACTCCGACTGGCTGCGGCGAGGCGGGGAAGGAGCGCGGGGGTTGCGCTGTTCTTGGGGGTCCCCTGTGTGGCTTCTCATCGGCCGTGTTGGGTCTGAATTGTTGAGACCGTTTAGATAACAGAGCCCTTTCATCCTTAAAACTAAGTCAGTCATGAAAAGAAAGGCCAAACACTCTGACGAAACACTACATTTGTTCTGTGGCCCTAAAGTCAGAATATGCTCTTGTCTATAAAAAAGGGAGGGACGGGCGGAGGGAGGGAGGGCATTACCCCTGTAATGACAAAGCTCTCATGGGGAATCTGAATTTTGCATTAAGATAGCACCTTTCTGTGTGGGATGAGAGAAAAAGTGATGCTATTTGATGTGACGCTGCTGGGAAATGAATTAGCGAAAACATCTTAAGCGCCGTCAGAGGCTCACGCCACGTCCGTAAGAGCTGAGCTAGATCTGTGATGTTTTAATTGTCCCCAAATTAACTGTGCACAGCAGTTGAGTTCTGTTCTGAAAGGAGAAAAATGTCTATGATTTTAAAACCTAAATTTGGTCTGAAAACATATTTTGGCTTATTTTATTCTGTAATTTAATAAATTATATGGTTAGTGCCTCTAAAGTAGCAAAATGTAATTATACTATTATATTGGGCCCATAATCTCAAATATTAATTAAATATTTGAACTTCAGAAAAAAAACATACTTAATATACTTTATGACATCTCTAGTAGGCAGTTCATAGAGCCAGGAAGTGGGTTAGAGGTTACTAGGCTGGGGGGAGGGGGAAGTGGAGAGTTTTTGCTTAATAGATATAGAATTTCTGTTTTGGATGGTGGAAAAGTTTTAGAAAAGATAATGTTGATAATGGTACAACATTGTGATTGTCATTAAGGCCACTGAATGGTTAAAGCACAGTGTGTTACACAGATATTTTACACAATGAAATAAAAACAAATTATTTGAGAAGAATAAGAACGGTTGGAAAACAAAAATGCCCACTCCCAGCACAACAGCACTATGTTTTCTTTTAGAAAATGTGGCCCCTGTCATGTGACTAAAAAGAAATACTATAAAGCAAAGATCAATTTAGCAATTTTTTAAAATTTCTTACTAGAGGCCCGGTGCATGAAATTCATACACTCAGGGGGGTGTCCCTCAGCCCAGCCTGTGCCCTCTTGC